GGGTGCCATCAAATTCGTATTACGCTCAGGCATAAGATAATAAGTCCAAGATTAAAGACGCTAACGAGTGCGAAATGAGACAGCATCAAATGCTATCAAAAGGCCATTTGATTCGGCAAAAAGAAAACATGTGTAGCTAGGCCCAAGATATGCCACATAAATAGCCAATTATTGAAGATTTATATAAGAGAATATTTCTATAGAGGCAGAATACGGTTTATAGAACCAAAATACATAGAGAAATATTAAAGGGAAACAAACTGGGAAATTCGATGAGAAATTCCCAAAAGCATTCAATGGAAGTTTGTTAGGAAATTTAAAGGGACATTTTTAAGGCAGTTTGTAGAGGTTGTAGAAGAAAAAAAAAAATGAAATAATAATTATATGAGTCTGATATTCAATCAGACATATAGTAATAAAAGCTCTAGATAGGGAACTATAAATAAGTATTTTAAATAAAGCTTAATAGCGAAAGAAAGCAGAGCCGTAAATTAATCAATTCTTTTGGGACTATTAATCAAAGTCAGTTAAAAAAATGTTTTTTGCATGCTTAATTAATGTTTTTTTGGTTAATTACAGCTGTATGTTGTGTGTCATTGTGGACACACCCGAGGAGTGTAGAGCAGAGCAATCGACGTTAGCAAATCAAATGGATGTTAGTCCCTCTGACAGCTTGTTTACATCAACATCTCAGGAAGTCAGCAATGCGGCAACGTGGGGCAGTTACGGCTCGGGACTCCGATAGGACAGCAAACGAAGTAAAATGAGCCTATGCGGGCGAATTTCACAACCGATAAGACCCCGGCCGCAACCCTCGCTGTCCCCCCGAGGGGTATAAGTCGCCCCCGTTTTGAAGCAAAGCGGAAAGTAGTTAGCAGCCAAATGGTTTTCGGTTACTTGGCTGGCCGCCCACATACATTCGCTTGCCCATTGCCAATACGGAATGGACATTACGTCAAATGCAAAATGGAGCCACAGATTAACCATGGGAAAAGCATTCGGCATCCAGCATTCAGGATTCAGCATGCTGCACACGTGTTGGAGCTGTTTGTGGCACTTATGGATTCACATTTCAATTAAATATTTAGGCCTGAAAACCCCTTTTAAATAATTCAATACGCAAATCCGCACATTTCATATAACAAAGAATTCTCAATAATTTACTTTACGTGACCCAAACACAAAAATTCCGCGCGAGTTTCGAGCTGCCTTTGCCAACAGTAACGTGTTCAAGTTGTTTATTATTTTATATTTTTGCTGAAAATTCGAAAATTTGAAAATTTCAACAGCTGCAAAGTTGTCAAAATTGGGCGAGGCACATGAAATATAAAATAGCAAAAGCAACTGAGATAGACACTGGTTAAAGATATAGAGAAAATGAAATGAAATGAAATGCAGATGGTAAAGTGCACGGAGTTCGATTCTAGACTTATGAATGTACTGATTCCAGATTCAGAAATTAGAAAAAAGTTAAAGTAGTTTTTGCAGGGAGTTTAATGTTAAATATTTTGAGTTCAAGTTTAAAATCAGCCAAGAAAAGGAAGCTGTTTCAGGTGAAATACTGAAGAATAATTCAATGAACTTAACAAAAAACGGTTAAGTGAAACCTCATTAGACCTGAACTCCTTCGCAAATAAACTCAATCAAATATTGGGGGAAAAAGAGGCTGTTAAGAATGTTTTAAAATTTAATACAAAATCAAATAAAGTCCGACTGGCAAATGCAACATAATCTGTAATAATATCGAAAACAAAGTCATAAAAGGAAAAACTTCGGGTTTTGTTGCGTGTTTCTGCATAGAAGCATAGCGTGTGGCGTCCTGTTTTTTTTTTTTTGGAGAGGGATTCCAAATTGGATGCGGATGCGAATGTTGCGGATGCTTGCGCCTTCTGATTTTGGCTTTTTTTTTTTTTTTGGTGACGCCCAAAAGCCAATAATGTCGCGTATTTCGCTGCTGACGCTGATGGTGACAACCACTGACATGCCCCCCCCCCCCCCCCACACACACACACACCCCGCCCACACACATGTCGCTTGGGGGCCTTTGGATAATGGTTTCGTGGCATAGAGCGGGGTCCTGCACGATCGTGTGCGGCGCGGGGTGGGGTCCAGCGGTGCCCTCCTCAGCGCCGAGGCCCACAAAAAACCAAAAGCAAATTTGGCACAGTGTCACACGTTATTGGTTTTGTGTCGTTTCTAGTGTATCGATTTAACTGCCGGCACAGCGACACGCTGGGAGCCCTGCGGCACGGCGTTTCGCTGCGGTTTGTTTGGGTTCCGTTCATGTTGTTGTTCAGGTTGCTGTTTTTTCTTCTTCTTCTTCTGCTTTTTTTTTTGCCCAGTCCTGTATTGAGCCTGCAACGCGTTGTAGTTGTCAGCGGCAGCAATTGCTGTTGCTGCTGCTGCTGGCAGGAAATTGTTGTATGCAAACATTAAATTTTTAACAGGACTCTTTTTTTGCCTTTCATTTTTGTTGTTATTTGTGGCAGTCATTTGAACAGTTTATCCCCGAAGAGGGAAAAAAGCCCACGTCTAACAAATCAGAACAACAATAGCTGCAAAGCTCTCACAGATTACGGCAAAATTTTGATTTTGTTTACTCGCCAATTGTCACATTGCCTTAGCTTTTATTTTCTAAACGGATATATATTTTCTATATTCGGATTGTTTCATTTATTTATTTATTTAATTTTTATTATTTGTGTGCAAAAAGCCCATCGAATATATCAAATAGCTTCGGGCATGAATTTAAGTGTTGCAAAATAATCAAAATCAAATATTGTAAAATAATTGGCATTAAATTGTTCATTTTGCTTTCGCAGCTTTGTTAATCAATTTAACGCTCAGATGACAGAATCACTCCGAATAGAATAATAATAGAGGCTCGAAGCATTGTAGAAAATATATAAAAAGCGAAAATTATATATATTCATCGCAAACTCATCTGGATATAGTTGTATAAATCTTGAAATCTGTATAAACACACACAAATATTTAGATTTTTGGCCTGAAACAACAGAGGAGCTCCTCTTTAAACTGTTTACACAGCACACAGAAAGTGGACTCTTGCTTGTTGTTTGCTTCTTATTCTAATGTAAATTCTTAAAATACAATAAAATATATATACACTTAGCATATTTATCATACATTATTGACCTTATGCATTCTTCCCTCTACTCATCTGTATGTCTAAGTTTCCCTTATCGTGTGGAATCGGACCAAAACATGTGAAATAATTTAGATGCTGTATACCTTTTTTGTTTAAACTAATTCTTACTAATTCCGACGCAAAGTCGGGTTCTAATTCAGTCAATGCAAATCGAATCAATGGTTTAATTTAATTAAATTGCATGCAACAAACACAAATTTAAAGCCAGCGTGTAATTAAATGCAGCTGCCAGCACAATGCAATATTTTGCACACTGCGCCCCATTTTCTGCTGCTAAAATTAGATGATTATTTAAATTCGATTGTTTCAGTTTTGGGCGACAGGCTGGACAGGATGATGCTGACAGGGTATGACTGTTCGGGCGGGCAAATAGCAAATTGCAGCGCGCAAAGCGCGACAACTTCGCGATGTTGTCTGCACTCGCTGTCCGAAAAGTTTTCTCAGCCAGTTTCAGTTCTAATTAGCGCTCTCAAGATATTCAACACTCAGCGTAATTAAATGGAATTTTAAGCGTTGCAGCGTGCCAGTTCGGCAGCAGCGCCTTTTAATTACTGCCGAGCTGCTGCCCCACCAGATAGTGGGCAAATATGCAGTTGTTGGTAACTTCATTGCGACAAGCTGCAACAGCAACAACAACAACAACAACAACAACAACAACAGCAACAGCTTAAATGACGGCCAACTTTTTGGTAAACGGCAAAACTTGGCTGGCACAAATTAATCATAACTTTGGAGGCTGCCGTTGCTGCTGCTGCATTCAGCTGCTGGCGAATTGGGAATGCAATAGAAGTACCAAGCCCGAATATCCTCTCCATCTGGCAGCTGGCATCACCCGCTTGCTGTCTCGCCTAGAATGTTGCTGCTTAGGGCCATTAAAAATGTGTTAGGTTTTTGTACAGCACCGCCAAGGTGCAGATATGTAGCACGTCTGCATTTGCATAGACTTTCATTTGGGCGCGCGTCGTCACTCTGACTAATAAATTTCAGCAGCTCCTCAACATTTATCAAAATGGCGAAAGTTTGCAAGTTGCAGCTACAGCTGCGCAGTGTTAGACAAAACAATTCTTCGACTACTTCCGTAGCTGGCTGGAAAACTTTGGTAACCTCAAAAAAAAAGTTACCTACATACACCCGACAGCATCGTTGAGTATAAGCCGTGGCGGTAGGGTTATATATCTATACGTGTACTTGGAGTAGCAGCTAGTGCTTAATCCTAACTTAAGGAAAGCTTGACTAGTTTAAAATAAGAATAATACAATAGCAATAAAATAAGACAATATACCTACAATTCTGTCTTAATTGACATTCGCTTTAGCTTCTATCAAAACATCGTTATTATTTAACAGCTTTTTTAGTTCAAATTCAAATGCTGCACTGCTTGCTTCAACAGCATACACCTGCTTGGCAGGCTGCTGTCTGCTGCCAGACAAAAGCTGGTTGTCTTCACACGGCATGGCAAGCAGTGCACTTGGCGCTATGAAAGCAGTTTAATCGTGTAAAAGTTACGTTACAATTCAAATGTTTAATAAACAATATTAAATCAGAGTCTAAAACATATGTACGCTTACCCATCGTACATTAATTATGACGTTAAGTTTTACATTTATTTTACGCATCGCATCAATTGAAATTTAACTGGCATTTGATTTAAGAGAGTTTGTATATGTTTTAATTCTTTTCTTTCGTAGTCAATTACAGAAAAATGGCGCGTTTTGAGAAACGCAAATTGTTATTGCGATTGCATAAGCATTGTAAATAAATACAGAATTTAAATAAATAATATAAATAGCTAAAACCTAGTTTCAAGTAAGCACATAAATTAATTTAATTTAATTTACTTTAAGTTGTCCAGTCATACGCACTAAAAAGCAAGTAATTCGTAGCACCCGTCACGCCCTAGACTTCATTGCACTCCAGATACAGCTGGCGGCAATCGAAACCGGAACGCCCTCTGCGTCCGGCATCGTACAGATGCTCAAAGCTGGTATTGCTGCTGCGGCCGAGCATATAGCTAGTGGCATAGCTGTTTCGAACAGGGTATATACGGATTGAAATACATATGCAAATAGGAAATATAGCAAAGACAACTCACGATCCCAGTTGGCAGAAGATGCTGCTGCCGCCAATTTCGCGCACGCAGTCGGTGTTGGCATCGCACATGTAGCGCTGCATGCACTTGTCCTCTGCGTTGCGGTAGGTGCGGACGTAGCCCTTGAGGAGCGCAATTCCGGCGACGGCCGCGTCACTCACCGAGTCACGTTTGCCTAGGGAGCGGGCGGTGAGCGAGCGGTGTGAGAATGAGGTCTTCAGTGCGTCCAGCAGATTCATCACGATCTGTATGAACTGTGAATGGGAGCGTCGAGAGTTGGTAGAGTGTGATGGCAAGGTGTGCGTGTGTGTGTGTGTGTATGAGAGGCAAGGCAATTGGGAAGCATTAGTCAATTAGTTTTGTGCCAATACAATAACTATGTATATATAAGTATAGCAGTGTACGTGTAAGTGTGTGTATGTACTGTGTTGTGTTTGTATGTGTGCTTGAAACTAATTTATACATTGACAGCACCATGCAACAGGGCGAAGCTGATGAGAAATACCTTTTTAAAGTTCTATTTTTGCGAGTAAAGTAAATTATTAATATTCCACAGCTATTTCACGTTGGTTAGCGTTTTAATTTCAGGGCAATTACAGTAAAATTCGTATTATAAGCTGACAAAAGCTTCTTGATTTAGTGATTGGCAAGCAAGAGTTAACTGCTTGCAGCCAATGTGTGATTTGAATTGTTTAAAACTGCTTTAAGCCGAAATTCTATTCCACTTTCGGAAAAGCTCAATAAATAAGAAAACATCAGCTCTGAGCGCCCTAATTTTGTTGCATAGTGCTATACGGTGTGCGCTTGGTGTGTAAGCAATAATGGTTTTACCTCGCCAGCTTGCTTGGCCATCGAGTTGACTTGATCTGGATCTCTGGTGCCCAACACGGACGACAGCACAGCCGCCAAGATGCCCTGTGCGAATTGGTTTTTAGGTTGAGGAATAGTAGGAAATAAATACATAATACAAAACAAAAAACAAAATAAAATAAAAAAGAGAGCAGGCCAAACACCAGATGAGTATAAGTACATATAAATACAAAACAACTGAAAGCGGCCAAAACACAACTCAAAATAAATGGCACAAAAGCAACAAAACAAAGGTTGAAAATAAATGGCAAAAAACGGGCAATTACCTGCATCGGAGAGCCACCGTTGTCGACCTTGTCGATGCCATCGCTGGGCGCACCGCCGCCCAAGAGTGTGTTGATAATGCGAAGGCCTGCACAAGAGAAATCAGATAACTAATATAACGAAGATACATACTCGTAAAGTATAGTGTATACTACGCACCCATCGAGATGACATTAGCCCAGGGGCTGCCGCCCAGACCAATCGAGCCGTCGACATCGTCCGACTTGGTGGGCGCATTGGCGGCGTTATTGAAGAACATGGTCATCACCGTGGACAGCATGTTTGACCAGGTGAAGCCGCCGGGTCCGCCCACGCTCTCCTGTATCTGATTGCCCTCAATATCATCCTCGATGTCGTCCAGAGCCACCTTCTTGGAGGCATTCGGCTTCACGGCAAACTTGCGGGCGCTGCTCTCGGGGCGATAAACTGGCGACTGGGACTGCGACTGGGTCAGCTGTTGCTGGCGCTGGTACAGCTCCTGCTGGGGAAAGGCGTAGGTGAGCAGCAGGCAGTTGCTGGCCACTATGGAGAGCAGCAGGTACGCATGTAGTTTGCGTTGATTCAACATGGCGCTGTCTGCAAAATAGAAATAAGCAAAGCAAGTTTGCGTCTTCAGTCTTTCGTTTTACGCACTTCAAAAATGTGAGACCCCAATCGCAAAGTCCACATAACACTTTCACATTGCCCAAGCGCAGACGGGTTGTTTGAACCTGCCCATGTCCCGCGCATACAAATAAGCCCAAAAACTAAAGCTAACAAGAAGCACAAAATAGTGTCCACTGCGCACGTGCAGTTACATGAAATAGTTGGCCCAATTCATGCGCTAAACGCATGCGTGTGTCCATTCCGCAAGACTCAATTTAAATGACATAACATAAAATAATTTAATGAAGACTCAAGAGCTTTGGGAAGTTTTTAATGAATGTCATAAGAACTCTTTGGTTTATACCTTTAAAATAACAATTGAATGCCAGATAAATGATTCCGGAATAATGTGTTTGTAAACAAAATTCATTTACCTCTCGACCAAAAAGAATAAAACAAATTCACACGCCAAATGGAAATTTCCGTGAAAGAAAATATGAAAGTTGTTGCGCTTTATTTAAGCAAAGAGCGAACCACTTCCGAAACAAAAAGACAAAAACAAGTCTAACTGCGCGTAATTAAAATGCCTGGCCTCAGAGTAAGAGTCTCGGTCAAATTGAACCTGTTCCCAGTGGCAGGGGCCATATTAGAGATCGGCAAGAAAGCGGCTAAAGCCACTGAATTGGTCAAGACCGGGCAGCCTAAACAAGACAACACCCAAGCGCTGGATTCATAAAAAGAAGAAATACAAAACCAGATGCTAACTGAGCTGGGATAAATATATTAAGTACTTGTTAGGCTGAAAGAAAGCAAGCCGCCGCGAGAGGTGGCAAAAGCAATTAGAGCCACAGAGAAAGACTTCCTGAAACTGGAGTTAACACCAATATTCGCCTCGATATTCAAATGGGTAAATTAGCTGTGAGTTCTCGGCTGTGCGGCACTGCCCGCTAGATGAAGCAACAATCTTTGAGTCTCAATCGACGCTTTGCTTTTTCTGGAACCAGTTCAGCTGTAGCGGTTCTTGCGCACAGATGTCATGCAGCACGTTACCGTTAAAAAATAATAATGAAAAAACTGGCCAGAACGAGCCATGGAGAATGCCAATAGCTGAGCATCGAACAGGGGAGATGCGATTGCATTGATTTCCATTTAATTGCCCAACAACCTGTTGCCAGCAGCGGAAACGGGTCAACTTCTGCTGCTGCTGCTGCTGCTGCTGCTGCTTTTCATCTTCTTATATCACATAACGGCTATCGGATTTACCATAGAAATGTAAATTGTTTTGAGATGCGATCATCAATCAACATTAGACGCGCTTTTTATCGCGCCTGCGACACAGTTCCACTAAATGTGGATCGCTTTTATAATTATTGCATCTATGTAAATTTAGAAAGCTGTTAGGAACGTGCATCAGCACTTTGAAACGGTCACTATGTTCCATGGGAATGTGTGTTTTTTATGCCCTCTTTCCTATCTTTTTGCCGTGGGGCGTGAGCGAGCGTTCATCCGTGCCGTGCATCACACGATGGCGTCAATCAATGATTTAGTTAAGAGTTCTCAGTTATATAAACGTGCGTAAAATATGCAAGGGGCGAGATTCAGAGAGATTGCCTTCAGAAGCTCATTGAAATCTTCTTTAAGGTTTTAAGTATTAACTCTATGGCTAATTAAAAATATAATATTAAAAGTAGTATTTAAATTTGCATAACATTTTATGATATATGATGATATGATATGGAGACAGAGATAAATATATAATAGACTATAAGAATCTGTTGCTCGAAAGTAGAGTACAGCATGAAATAGTGTGTACAAATGTTCACCTGATAAAGCGTGGCCTCTATACAAACACTACCTGTCGTGTTATTGCCACAATTGATGGCCAATTCTCGGCAAAACATATTTAAAAAAAGTCAAGTCAATAAACAAAATACCCAACAAAAATACCCTGTCAATCATAATATATTAATTAAGTAAATATAACAATTTACAGTTGACTCTGCTTTTGAACCCGCGAACTCTCTCATGTTAGTCCGATACTGCTTTTAAAATTAATTCCCACTTGAAGGTCAAATTTTCCATAACCCAAAAACTTCAGTTCAGATTTCAGCTTCGAACGGTTGAGTCTGTGAGTTGGTCACAGTTCGGTCTGTCAGTCAGCAATCGGGATATTCAGTTATATGTATATACTTATAAATAAAGATATATAACATATATAAACAGATTATATTAAATTCTTTGCTCAACCTAAACTCAACTCAAGATTAGGCGAATGGGGCGTATGATATGATATAATATTTTTATAACATTAAGTATCCAACGTCTTGCTTGGGTAGTCAGCACTTTGTTTCAGCTTCAGCGATTTAGCTTGATATATGAAGTGGACTGAGATATGATTGGTTTAGTAGGCAATAAAGCTAAAAGCTTTTACTCTCTTTAAGGCTAAGCATGCAACTCTTACTTTCACGGTCGGCAACAACAATTCCATTAAATGTGGCAATTAAAGAAGTATTTTTTTATTAAAGAAAAAAACAAACATAACTGTTACCAATAATAAAAAGTAATTTACACATATGCGTCGACTAAACGCAATTAAAGCTTTTTTTTTTTAGATACAATTACGAATGGACTTGGACACAAAATTAGAAAGTGTAGAAAAACCGCAAAAAACGAAACACGCGCCAAATGGCTAAATGTTAAGCTGTGTGGAGGGGGAGGGGGAGGGGGGGGGGTAACTTGGGGATAACTATATTAGTTAGGGGTTCTTTGGTCAAATGTGCCGCAAATTTATTACAATTCATCTTCCATCTAACATACTTCTCACGTCTCTTCGATGTGCATTTCGTTTTCAATGCGGTCGCCACCTTGGCACGCCCCACTGAGCACTGGGCACAAAGCACAAAGTCAAAGCTGAGAAAGTATCTTCGTGATTTGCGGTTGGGCTTCTACCTTTCTTTTGCATGTACATACATACTTATATATATATGTATATGCTTATATATCACTGGGGCTTGGAGCTGGCGCTAAGCTTGGATGTGCTGAATCATTCTGTAAGAGCCAGCTTATCTTGTGGCTGTCGTTGTTGTTGCTGCTGCTCATTTTCGGTTAACACAAGCTCGGCGCAGTCATCGACTCGTTTGTGGCAAGAGAAACTCGAATATGTGTGTGTATATAACACATACACTCGCGTGTGCTTTGCGGCGTTTCACTTTCTTTTTGGCCAAGAATTCGAGTACCTTCAGGTTTATTGACCACAAAAACCAAAAGTAAGCCAGGCGCAGACGCAAATCCCGCTCAGTTTGCATTTATAGTTCAGCCTGCGCGACTTGAACTTTCCAGCAAGTTTGTGTCTTAAGTCTTTCGTTTTATTCGCTTTTCGCTCAATGGTCAAACACCTCGACGTGCAGTGCCTAACGGTACACTGCGTCGCATTTAAATGCGATTTGGAAAATGCGACATTTTTGTTGTTGTTGTGTTTTTGATGGACTATTTGGTAACAACAGGTGCCAACGGGTTTCTGTTGCCGTCAGCATTACAAACGCATCCAAAGCCCAAATGACGCAATGCGAAGAGCATAATCGAAGAGCCATTCAATTTGCATAGGCATCTGTTTGTCATAGCTGTATTCGAGTAGATTGCGGCTTGCCAAGATCAAAGGAAAGCTGCTTGTGACAGGCAACAGCTGCAACAGTTGCAACAGCTGCCAGCATTTTATTTTTACTTTTACCTGACCCCAATGGGCATATAACTTATAAGCGCCACGAAAGCAGAACAAATTGCAACTGTCATTAGGTATTATTATTATTTTATTTTGTTTTATGTTCATTTTGCAGCTGCACTTGATGCCCGAATTGCAACTGTCACGATTTGCTTGACAATTGCCAGAGTCAACGGTGTGAAAATTGTGGCCTTGTTTTCATACAAGTCTTCAAATTTCTAATTTTAAATGCACAGATATATAAATATGTTTCATATTTTTTAGGCATCATATAAATTTGTATTTTTCAATATTTTTATATGGAATATAAACGCAATATTAAATTTGTATGAATATCATGGGCTTAATGTTGGTAGCTGATATAATTTTCATCTGTTTAATGTTTTTTGAATAAAGAAAGTTGGCAATTTGAAATTGATTTTAAAGACTTTTAATGCAAGCTGCGTTGTTTTTTGATCAAAGGCCCAATATTTTCAATTTCGCTTTATTTTATGAATTATTACTTTACCATCATACAATGTGTTTAATGTGACTGGCCAGATATGTATAAAACAAGCAAACGCAACTTATTAAGCAAGATTTTCTCTGTAAATTTCTAGATTTTGCTATTGTATTATTTCAGAAATAATTGGCTTAAATGTCTTCAAAAGTTACTCCGAAGCATTCAATTTATTCACGCCAACAAAATGGATTTTATTTATGAAAAACTTGATATATATTTTTTGTTTTAAATATAAAATACTTTGAACTTTTGAATTAAAATGTAGTTTTTTTTTTGGAATTTTAAAAAGTTGAAAGCGATTTTCCAGCAGATTCGTTTTTTCTTGAAGAAATATTTTTATTTAATATTTCATTAAAGTTGTATGTGCCTAATTTATTTTCTTTTATATGCCTAAATTATTTTCACCATATTTATCAATAAATTTATTTATCTGAGACAACAAAACTTGCTGCAGCACAAAACTAACAATTTAGCAGTTATCCAAATTGATTGAGCACGCTTAAACGGCTTGAAGAAAAACTTTCACCACCAACCGGGCAACAACAGCAGCAACAAAAACAGCAACAACCACAGACCATGTTGACAAAGTAGAAGCCGCACAATGCCAAAGAAACCACCAACAACAACAACCGAAACAACAATAACAGCTAAAGCCACAAACAAATGTCTTGCATGAATGAAAGTTACAAAAAGACTTGCTTTAAGCTAGCACAGAGGGGCGTAAAGTAAGAAAAAAAATATTATAAATATATTGAAGTCAAAGTCATG